CCCACAATTGAGCACTATTCTGCCATAAAGAAGGATAAACTGCTGTGTGGACGCCCCAGGATTCATCTGTCCCCAAATTGGAGAACAGGGCTTGGTGCACTGCTGGCCCTGCACCCGCGTGGCGGCGTCTGTGGGAGGGATTTCCAGAAAGAGCTGGGGCACTGCCTCCAGAGAGAGCAACCCAGGGCTGGGTGGACTGGTGGGGAGCACCGACCTGGCTCGCAAGGCCTGGCCAGGTCTCAGTACTGCAGATGAGATGGACAGAGAGAAAGACTGTCCGACTCTGTGGCTATGTGACGGTCTCTTCCGGGAAAGGCCACAGATGAAAGTCCTGGCACTCGGTGATGCATGTGGGCAGAGGCCCAGCATGCAGCACATGGCAGGGACCCTGGCCCAAGGGTCTGGACTGGCCGGCACTGTCATGACTTCACCCGCATTCTTCACTCAGCATCTGTGGAGTCGGGGATGGGCAGGCACTGTTTTGTTCTTTTATTATTATTGGTTTTGTGTTTTTAAAAAATAGCCTTTGTGCTGGTGTGGTGTACACATCTGTGATCTCAGCACCCTGGGAGACTGAAGCAGCCTGACTGCAAATTAGAGATCAGCCTGGCCATCTTAGTGAGACCCTGTCTCAGAAAACAGAAAGACCAAGTTAGACCAGAGTAGACCAGACCAGACCAGACCAGACCAAACCAAACCAAACCAAACCAAACCAAACCAAACCAAACCAAACCAAACCAAAGGGCTTGACTCGTCAGAGCAGTTTCAGGTTCACAGCAAAACAGGAGAGACGGCACCGATCTTCACATGTACTCCGTGTCCCCGTGTAGGTGGCCTCCGAGCCATCGTGCTGCATCACTGCATCTGCCGAACCCACATTGGCATTTGAGGCCTCAGTTGTTCAGCAGAGCCTTTATCTTCTGGAGCCAGGGCCCAGGACGCCAGTGCAGGGCTGAGTCAGCCACCAATCCCAGGGGTAGCTCAGGGTGAGGATCTCTCAGTCATCCCCACTGCTGGACATGATCACAGCACCCACAGGGTACAGAAGGAGAGCAAGCTTGTGGCTCACTGCTAGCTCTGAGGCTGAGCCGTCCTGGGGAAGGGTGTGGTGGGGCGGAGGGGTTCAGCTCATGGAGGGTGGGTGGGGTGGGGAGTGGAGTGGGGACAGAGCCAGAGGGAAGACACTAGGGCCCAGATGGAGATGCCAAGGCCATGGCTCCATGACCCCAGACACCCCCAGGAGCCAGCTTCACCAGTCTTCAGGGTGAGTCCTAAGCCAGTCAAGGTGACCCTCTGCCCTGCCCACCATGGTGTGCAGCTGGCCCAGGGTGAGAAGGTACCGGACAGGACCCTGCTTTGCTGTAAGTTCTGTTCTTCCAGAAACAGCTGGTCAACCAAGAGGGCTGTGCAAACTGTGGAATGCTCACATAAACATTTTTTTCATGAGTGAATGCTGTTTTGAATTTCTGTCTGATACATCTGTGTATCTGTGTATCTGTGTATCAGTGTTTAGCTTAAGATAATCCGTTTGTTCTCTTGGTTGTTGGCATAGTTTGCTTTGAAGAATAACGTTTGTACTAAGAAAAAGACCACTGTGAATTACGTTTGAAACCTGTATCTGTGAATACCTGCACACTCCCATGTGCACAGGCATTTTACAACATCTTACTTCTTGTGGTGCGGTTAGAACCTGTTGCAGCTTGTGTCTGATGTCCCCAAAGCCTCATGCAGTCAGACGTGGGGCTGCATCTAGAGTGTGTGGCTGATGCGTGGTGCAGTGTGTGATTATTAAATTGGTTCTCTGATTGGTTTGACACCGCTAATCCTGGCAGCCTGGATACCATATCAATGGGGCAGAAAGATGATGTTGGGGCTTCTTGTTTCTTCGATATGTTCTGCCCACATGAACAATTGCCCCTCTGCTCTGCTGCCCCACCTTGGAGCCAGCTGATTATGGACCGAAACCTCCCCAAACTGTGAGCTACATAAGCTCCCCCTCTTTAACTTGGGGTGTCAGGTATTTTTGTCTCAGCAAGGAGAGCAGTAGTAGAGAACTCATAGCCTCGCACCTGCCAGACAAATGTACTCCGGCTACACTCCGGTCCGCCATGTATTTTAAATGCAGAGAAAAAGTGCACAGTAAAGTTTGCAAACTCTGGCCCCACAATGACATGAGACTTTAGTGATGGAGCACAGCGGTGTCTCCTTGCTGTGATGTTTCTGCAGTCACAGCCTTTGAATGATGGCCGAGGCTCTGGGTCCTGCAGGGGAGTCCTGCAGGGATGCTGGTATCTGCTTCCTGTCTCACTGTGAGCAGGGGAGACTCAGCCAGAAGAGGTTTATTTGTTGTGGGTGGTGGAGGGCCCAGTACAGTCAGGTCGGCTCTCCGCTTTGGCATGGGGCCCTGGTCCCCTTCCCTGACGTGATGCCTTCTGCCCAGGCCTGCGGCCTCTCTGTGCCTCGTGGCAGCACCATACTCTGACCAGGCCTTTTCTCTGTGGGCCACTGAGGGTCGTTTGAGGTCCAGATGCAGCCTTCTGCTTCCAGAGGTTCACTTTCCCAGATAAGATGAGCATTTTGTTTATGGCGTTTGAATTTGAGATACAGTGAGGTTGCTGGGTGTGTAGAGGCGCTGTACCTCTAACCCGAGCACTCAGGAGGCTGAGGCAGGAGGATCACTGCGAGTTCAAAGCCAGCCTGGGCTATGTATCGAGACCTGTCACAAAACACACACACACACACACACACACACACACAGAGAGAGAGAGAGAGAGAGAGAGAGAGAGAGAGAAAGAGAGAGAGAGAGAGAGAGATACAGATACAGTGAGGCTGCTTGTGTCAGAGCACGTGGCTTAAACACGGGAGAAAGGACTGGGGAGCTTGGCAGGTGGAAGAGGAGGGAGGTGGGACCTAGAAACCAAACCAGCTTTGTGTGTGTGGGTTAGGGAAGGAGGGAGGGGGACGTTTGGAAACATGAGTAGAAAGGGGTTGGTAAAATCAGAGATTGAAAGTTTGTATAAATGATTGTGAAGAAGCCCATGAAAAATGCATGTAGGCTTGTAACTCCAGCAGTCTGGGAGGCTGAGGCAGGAGGAGCACAACTGTGAGCCCAACCTGGAAAACTCTGTGGTTTAGCAAGGCCTTGTCTCAAAAGGCGGTGGAGGCGGGGGTAGAGTTCAGTGCAGAAACCCTGGGTTCCATCCCCAGTACCAGAAAACAAAGCAACAAACCCCAGCGCACAGGTAGTGGTGGTCAGATCCTGGTTGTGCATGTGGATCCGTTGGCCCAGGTAGAGTGACCTCTCCTGAAGTGGAGGCCCAGCCTTCTGAGTCTGGGAAGCTTGAGGAGGAAGACAGACTGGAAAATTCCATGGGAGGAACGGTGAGATGGGCAGCACTGTCTGGGTTCTCCGCGCAGGTGCAAAGCTGTGCTGGGTTCTGGCCGGCGTCTGCTTGTTTGTCCTGTGCACCTGCGGCCTTGTCCCACTGTGGGGATGTTCTGATTGATACTTGTGTGGAAGCCTGACCATTGGAACCGAAGGTCAGCGTTCGTGCTGTGTCGGCATCTGCAGAATCAGAGGAGCTTCTTTGATGGAATTCTTGCTGACCCGGTCTCTGAGGAGCTTTTCCACAGCCCCACAGAGCGAGGGTCCCAAAGGCTCCCGCACATGTCCCGCTCCTGCCCCTGCTCTGCAAACAGGGAGACTGAGTCTTGCTTTTTGATTTTTATTTTTGTGAGTGCACAGGTGCAGTGCATCACGATCACACGCCTTGTGGGGTCCTGATTCTTTCTCTGGTCCCCTCCCTTCCCCCTCTCTGAAGGGTACAGACCTTGCTTGTGCCTATGGCCGGGTGCAGAGCCCGCCTGTGGACCCTGTTCAAGACTGACCTTGCAGCTCCCCAAGTACAGGTCCCGTGGGGTGAGTGGCCCTGGGGATGCGCTGTACCCTGCCACCCCTGCTGGCATTCCTCCTAGGGTGGGAGCTCTGAGGCAGTGGTTGCTCTCCATGTCTCCCTTGAGGTGGCTGGCGGAGCTTTCCCACCCAGGTGCCCTGGGCTTCCACGCAGCTGCTCACAGGTCCCCCGGTTTCCTCAAGCCCTGGTCTGTGCGTGACTTCCTGTTTTTCCTGTTCTACCTCCCTGCTTGTTGTTTTTCAAATTCTCGGTTACTTCCTTGCCCTCTTTTGTCTGTGAGTGGTGCCCGGTGCCTTTCCTGTTTATTGTGGCATCTCCCTGCCCTCCGTGCTTACCTTGAATGTGGTGTCAGGTCGATTTTAGGCAGAACTGGGCCGAACGCCTGAGCTCCGGGTGCCTGGAGCACGCGCATTTTGCAAGTCATGACCTGCCAAAGGGGGGCATTGTGCTTGTGAGTGGTGGCTCAGGGTTGGTGCTAGCTGGGTCTCCTACAATCCTGGCACTGGCCACCCAGAGCTGGTGCAGACCCGGGCTCGAGGTGCAGTCTGTAAGACTGTCTGGGTTCCCATGTGCAGCCTGGCAGCATCCCCCCTCCTTGGGTCTGATTATGGGCTGGAGTGGCTCCCACAACTCAGGAGCACTGTGCTTACTAGCTGCTGGCGTAAAGGATGCAGGTGAGTGGCCAGGTGCGGAAGATGTCACAGGCTGAGTCCAGAGGGGTCCCAGCCTTGGAGCACCTGTTCCTGTGGGCTGGGAGACAGCACCCTCCGGACACCTGGAGGCTGTCCCAAGTGCCCAGGCCAGGGGAGTAGAGATGCTACCAGAGGTGGGGTGTGAAATCTCGAAGCCCTCAGTCATGAGGCTGATTCCCAGGCCACCTGGGTTCCTGAAGCCACCTCTAGAGCTTATGCTCAGGTGCAGGATAAATGATGGTGTGGCACCCAGCGCACTCCTTGCCCCCATCATCCTGCAGACCCCAGGGTTTCCAGAGCTCTGCTGCTGGGAGCCTGGGCAGGGAACCGGGTGGATTCGCACTGCCCGCTGTGCCACGGCGTCATGTTCTGAGGTGCTCTTGTTCTTTTCCAGCTGGCCTGCTGCTGTGGGACGGCAGGCTGCTCCCTCTGCTGTGGTTGCTGCCCCAAGGTCCGACAGTCTCGCACCACCCGCTTCATGTATGCACTCTACTTCATCCTGGTCGTCGTGCTGTGCTGCCTCATGATGTCCCCCACTGTGGCCAAGGCCATGCAGGAGCATGTAAGTTGGCCTTCCCTGTGTGGGTGCTGTGTGCAGGGCGTGGGGGGCAGATTGCAGGGCAGGGTGCATGTGTTCCCCCGGGGCCCTGTGACACCTGTCTACTGCCATCCGGCCTGGTGGGTGGTGGGTGGTCCTGAAGATAACAGGGTGGGCCCTGGCGTCCCCTGTCTCCCCTGTCTCCAGGGGAGACTCAAGGGACCAGAGCCACGGGTGCCAGCTACAGGCTGTGTGCGCCAAAAGGTTGTGTGCACCCATCTAGGACTTGTGCATTTCTCTGTTCTCCCTCGGTGGACCTCTTGACCAGTCAGGGGAGGGGTCTTCAGGGAGCCCAGTAAATAACCCCACCTTCCTTTCCTAGCTTCTGAACACCCTGACAAGGAGACAAAGATGTCAGCAGGTAGATGCCAAATACCAGGTGTGATGTAAACTTCCTGTGAATATTCCCATGTGCTAGTCTGAGAGTCTACATAAAATCATAAAATTAACTGCCCCTGTACCATAATGTAACCTATCTCCTCTTGCTGGGTGTTCAAGAATTGTGCTTTGGGAGATCAAAGCTGAAAAAATAACTGGGCTAGGAGGACAGCTGCTGTTTCTGCCTGGCTCCCAGGGTCAACAAGGACCCAGAACATGCGTGAGGGCATCTTTCTACAAGATCCTACAACTCTGGCGAGTCACCCAACCTCCTGAGTAGAGAGAGACCTGAGGGTGGGGATAGACCAGTGTGCATTGCACTAGAAGGAGGTCACCATGCTTCCAAGGAGAGCCATGTGGTCAGCCACAGACTGAGACCCTTCCTGGCAGGTGGCACACCCGACGGAGGGTTAACTGTGCTAGGAGGCTATGATTGTGGCCCCAGAGGAAATGCCCAAGGAGATTTAACTGACCCCCATATATCAGGATGTACATTATGATTGACAGAGGTCTCATCTTAAGTTGGCCCTCAGCACTTCATGACAGGAGGACGAAGCCAGAGATATGGGTAACAGTGACACAGGCTGGACATACAGAGGGGCTTTTGGTCACTGACCCCTGCTGACAGTCCTGAGGACCAGCTGGTTCCAACTGCTGTTCCATCCCTTTAAAAAGTGTTAAAGAGTGCTCTAAGTGCTCCTTCCCCAGTCTACCTTTCCGTTCTGCTGCATGCTTTGGTCACACATGCTTTAATTGCTTGATAAAGCCTGGTCATTCTCGCCTCGAGGCTGCCAAATGCCAAGTGAGACATACAAGTGATACAAGCCATACAAGTGAGACATACTGTAAAGGCGCCAGGCTTCTCCCGCTGATGCCTGTTGGACGAACCTCCCTGCTAACTTCTCCATCTGCTGTTCCCCCGGCTCCAACCCCATTCAGCTCAAAGAAGCCAGCTCAGTCATTGCTGGTTTCCTACCAGCAGCCAGGTAGTGTCTCAGGACGGGGACTGTAGGGACAGGGTCCTGTCGATAGGGAAGAGAGAGGATAAGGCCTCCTTCAGCTTTGTGAGAGGTCAATGGGGAGACTAGGGGTGGTAGCCTCTGTTTCTGCAAATTAGGCCCAAGCAGTCAGAAAGACCAAGGCGAGGAGGCTAAGCTCAGGGAGGACCCAAGTGCTGCAATCCTGGTGAGCCCCTTTGCTTAATCCTTAAACCTGAACTACAGGTCCCTAAACCCCTACACATAAACTCAGCCTCCACCAACAACAGGAAAGGTCACGTGACCAGAAGAGCTCCCACAGGAGCACCAGAGACAGCGGGGAAGCCGGTTTCTAGGAGCAGCAGCTGAGTAGCTGCCCTCTCTCTCTTTCCTCTTTTCTCTGCCTTCACGTAAATCATCTTCAGTTGAAACATCTGATTCCAAAGACACACTGCCCTGAGCCCTTCCAGACCTGCCCCACCCTGAGTGTACTTATTCTGCACCTCAGTGAATTTAACCTCAGTGTGGGTCACTCAGCCCCACCTGTGCCCTTGGCCTCCCACAGTGACCTAGGCAGCCTGGAGTGGCAGCCTGGTCTCTCTGGGCTGGGACAGGACAGCAGCAGACTGTTGTGGGGGGAGAGGGGGGAGGTGGAGGGAGCCGGACACATACCTGCAGTGGGTTCGTAAACAATATAGGAATTCAAGCAGCGAAACTGATGATGAATTGTATTACCTGAGCTCAGGACCACTAGCAGAGTCCCACCGAGTGGTGGTGAACTGAAGGGTCACAGGGTATTTACGAGAAAAAAACCACAAAAAGACATCCTGCTGGAAACAAGTTAGCTAGAATCGTCCATTAATTTTGGTTGATACCTGTATTCTGCTTTGTTGAGCAGGTTAATTTTTCTCTTGTGGGTGCAGCCCATTCTGCTTTTCTTATGAGACTTGTGCTCTAATTTTTCACTCCACTGGGTCAAACACAGGGCACAAGATGGCATTGGTTATGCCAGGCTACAACAGTCTTGAGGCTCCACAGCTGTGCACGGAGGAGGCTGCAGTGATTGTAAATGCACACTCGTGCTTCAGAGCAACGGTGTTTTGCCTTTTGCTGTGCTGCAGATAGAACCCGGGCCCCAGGCTGCCAGGCAGGCTCTCCGGCACCAGGTCCAGGTCAGTGTGGATCCCTGGCGCCAGTGTTGGTGAAGTGCTCATGGTTGTGCCCACATCCTCTGTGTGCACACCTGTGGCTGCTGCGCTCTGGCTGCTTGGAGCCCCTGCGGGCGAGGCGAGGAGGGACTGTAATATGTCCAGGCAGGCGCCAGCTTGTCCTTGAGCAGGACAGAGGCTGAGTCTGCTGAGGCCTAGTCCTCGGGGGCTGTGTGTGGGGCGGGAAGCCTGGGGGCAGCGGGGCTGGAGCGCAGGTGGCATCATGCCTCCTGGTCTTCCTGCCTCTGCTGGCTTCAGCCTGGGGGGTTGTAGCAGAAGCACAAGTGTCAGACTGCTGCTGACACCATGGACTGCACCCCGCCCTGAGGCTCCCTGAAGCTCATTTGCTACTTTTGTTTTACCAGGAGGGTTGAGTTCCCTCCTAATTTCCACAAGCAGTGGCCAGGTGCCCTGTGGGTGTGTGGTGGACTCACTGTCCCCATGTCTGCAGTATGATCTCTGCTCTTAAAATGTTGGTGGGATCAAACCTTGGATCCCAGAAATAAGATCTGGAGCCAGGCAGACCTGCGGCATCGCTCTGGGGGAGGTTGTGGGGAAGCTCTTGGCAGGAGGTAGGGACAACCTGGCCCCTCCATGGAGTGTGGGCTTCATCACTGTAACATAAACAGGTCAGTTGCCACCCCACTTCCTGCTGCTGGTGGAGCCCCAGGAGCAGACAAGGCAGCCTGGTGTCGCTGGCGAGCTTTGTGCAGGGATGGCATTTGCAGAGCCCACATGTGTGGTGTGGTAAATGCCACCTCCAGGCTCACACCGAGCGTGTTGGCTGTCACCACCTGCGCCCACCTGCGCCCACCTGCAGGCAGGTGCCATTCTGGTCCCTGCTCAGCGGGGGGAGCCACGGCATTGAGTCCTTGTGGTCCTTGTGCCAGGGCACCAGCTCTGAGCAGCTGAGTTGGGATTGGAGCCGAGGCTGAACTGGTTCTGAATTCCTGGGCTTTGTACAAAAGCGATCGAAACACAGGGTGAATGTGTAAATGTAAAATAAGTTACTCCAGTGAGCGTCACCTTGGCATTACCCCCTCAGACCCCTGCCTTGGTTTTGTGGACACTTCTCCCATCGTCCAGTGCTGCAGCCCTGGAGACCTTTCTCCTGGGTGTCTTTACCAGGTGTGATTAGAAATTTGGTGGCTGCCACCATGGAGCGCCACCCAGCGGAAAGGCAGCTCATAACGTGACACCGTGTCCTCCTGGTCCACTACATCCCATGGACCTGATACTGTGCGACTTTTGGGTCTCCCCTAAAGTCAAAATGACCATGAAAGCAAAACGTTTTGAGTCCATTCACAGCATTGAGGCAGCCAGGATGGGACACCTCAGGGCCTCAGGGAGAAGGACACCAGAGTGGGGCAGACAGTGGCAGTGGCTCAGGTGGGTGTTCAGAGTGAGTGGAGACTTTGAGTGGGGTTCAGGCAGAGCATCTTCGATGGCAGCCCTCGTATTTATTGACACTTCATAGCTAGAGAGGAGGAGAAGGAGCAAGAGCAGACATGTGGTGAAGGACCAGAAAGAGAGGAAACCTTGACTGAACCCTCAGGCGTCTCTGTGTGGAGGTGGAAAGCCCTGAGTGTGGTCTGGCCACAGGCAGTCTGCCCGTGTCCTGCAGGACAGGACCCTGGGGAGTCAGGCGCGGAGCCCAGCGGTGACAGTGCTGTTGGTGGCTTGGGGTTCCTTGGCTGGGAGAGCAGATGGCACAGAGAGGCAGGGAAGGGCTGACTGAGGCCTTTGTGCTGTCCCCTCCCTGTCCTGAATGCACCTATTTAGAAGTTGGCCTGGCTTCCTGCTGGGAGAGGCCCTGGGTGGGACGGCCCTTGCCATCCTCAGGTCAGCAGTGGCTGGAGGGGCTGAGCTCATCCTAGGGCATGCAGCCCTGGTGAAAGGGCCTCTTGTGGCCTCCAGGCTTGGGTCCTGTGTGCTCTGTGTGGCTGCAGGAATGCTGGGGGCAAGGCAGGGAGAGGAGATCTGCTTTGGGCTGGGAGCCCGGGCGGCAGTACGGTCAGCTGTGCAGGTCTCACTGTGGTTCAGCCCAGCTTGGGCTTAAGCCTGGAGACTGGGCTGGGAGAGCCGCCCTGCTCCTCTGCTCTGCAGGTAGTGTCCCTGCGCTATGGCCTGGGGCCAAGGGCACCCCACTCACCTCAGAAAACAGAGCCCAGGCGTCCAGAGCCACCTTGCTATCACTGTGCAACTTAAGTGGATGCCCACCTCGCTGTTGATGCCCTCGTGCTTATAGCCTCTCCTCTCTTTGTGAGACAGGCGGTGCAGTCCAGGTTACCTGGGAACTCACCATCCTCCTACCTCAGCCTCCCGAGTGCTGGGGTCACAGGTGTGAGCCACCTTACCCAGTTCTGATGTTCCTTTTACAATGTGGGATGGGAGCGGAGCT